TCGAACCTGATCTCTTTTGTCTCCTGCACTGGCAGGTGGATACTTTACCAATGAGCCACTGACTAAAGAGCCACTAGAATTTTGATTTTATATCCAGTGACTTAGAGCTATGTTTCTGAAGCTATCTTGATGGAATAATTATATTTATACAGTAGTTAAGACTGCATGTAAGCCAAGACTTCTCTGGTGGCTCAGTGGTTAAAAAAAAATCTTCCTGCCAATGCAGGAGACACAGGTTTGAACCCTGATCTAGGAAGATCCCCTATGCCTCAGAGCAACTAAGCCTGTGTACCACAACTCCTGAGCCTGTGCTTTAGAGGTGGGGAACCACAACTCCTGAGGCTACGTGCCACAAGCACTAAACTAGTGCTCTCTAGGGCCCGTGCTCCACCACAAGAGAGGCCCCCGCAATGACAGGTCCATGCACTGTGGCGAGAGATTAGCCACCACTCCTTGCAACTAGACAAAAGCCCACTCAGCAATGAAGATATAACACAGCGAAAAATAAATAAATAAAATTATTAAAAAAATAAATAAATCGTCAGTGTTCATGCATCTTAAAAAAAATTGAAAGTCTGGATATGAGTTAGTACAGAGCAGGGGCAGTCAATATTTGTTATTTTCTGGTAAAAAACCCCCGACATTTCAGTGGCTTATGTGCATTCGATATTGCACATCAGTCCAAGACTGTTAAAAATTCAGTCATTTCTCCTTTACCTGAAAAGGCTCTCACCCAATGACAGACTTGCTCCCTTGCCTGGTCCCTGAGATGAAAGCTGCTTGTAGTCCTAACTCATATATGAAGGGTTTATCCTCTCTGAGATTTGGTTTCTCCTAAATTTCTTTGTGTCCAAAGTTCCTCAAGGAGTTCAGAAGTATACACAATTTTGTAATTTAATTGAAATCTTTTCTTCATTACAGTAAGAATTATAATCATTTATGTCCATCTCCATTGTAAGGAGAAGCAGAACTTTGAAAGCCTTATATTTTTGAAATTACTTTATCTTTTTTTAAAGTAACTTTTTCTTAGTATGAAAACAATAGTCATTCCAAATATTTCAGAAAATCCAGAAAATTAAAAAATACTTTGTCAATGTGCATTTCCATCATTTTGTAAGATTTCCCTAATCCTTTCTGAGTTGCTTCAATTTAAAAGTATTTGGTGTCCAAGTGGAAAGAATTTTGCTTTCTCTTCCAATTCTCTGTGCAAACTTCAGGATTCAAAATTCTCATTTGTTTCTTTTCTGCTTGTTCTCCACTCTCCTTTCACATGCATCTTCTATAGTACAGAAGATCAAATGCCTTACCCTTATGTTATGCAGTGAAATTCACCCCATACTCTCTCTTCCTTCAAAAAAGAATGCCCTTGATGGTACACCGAAAATAAAGGTACTCTGAAAAAATCATGACCTCCAACTACCAGGACTTTGGTGATGAGATAGTACTGATAGTTGAGGGCAGACCGATCCATTTATTCCCCTTATTATAAGCATTCAGTGACAAAGCTACAGAAAAATAAGAAAGCATCACGTCACAGGTATGTTAAATTTCTTTAGTCGTGTCCGACTCTTTGCGACTACATGGACTGTAGCCCACCAGGCTCCTCTGTCCACGGGATTCTCCAGGCAAGAATACTGGAGTGGGTTGCCATTCCCTTCTCCAGGGGATCTTACTCACCCAGGGATTGAATCTGTGTCTCTGACATCTCCTGCATTGCAGGCGGGTTCTTTACGAAGAAGTCCACCTCGTAGGAGGGCTGTGGAAATACTCAGGTTTGTGGAAAGGATCCTCTGAGAGATAACAATGAAACTTAGTGATCCTTTCTTGCCACGGAGGAAACAAATGAGTCCCAAGCTACACATTACTGGGCAAAAGATCTCTCCTATAACATATGGCACGAGAAAAGCAATGAAAGATTAACATGACCGCTGCTGTCAGATAAATTCCTTTATTTGGTAACATACGGCTCTGATCCTCCTTTTCAGTCATTATCAGTGACTAGGTTTTGTCTTATTCAAGTATTTATTTTGGGAGGAGGGGACTGTCAGGGTAATTTCACGTGACAGCTCTATCTTGTGAAATAGGCTGAAATGAAGTTTTCCTTGGTGCCCAAAGCCTGGCTTCTTGTTTACATTGTTACAGGTGATATGATGGGGCCTGGCGTGTTACACCAGGTGTTGGGGTTATGCTTGGGAGCCTAGAACCACTTCTCCTGCACAAATGATACTTGTGTTTTACATATTTATCTGATGAGGTCCAATCACTCTTAAAACGCTTTTTTCTCCTTTATGAAAATAAACTGTAATCTGAGTCGTAGAAATAGTTGGGATGAAGTCTTAAGGCAGATAGTAATAATAATTGTGTGCATTCACATTTTATGAGCATTTTTATATTCGTTATACAAGCTGACAAGTGCATCAACTCTATGAGGAAGATGCTTATAATTTTGTTTTTTATGGGTGAGGAAATTTGAGTGCATGGAAAGTAAGATACAAAAAAACAAGTGACTTGCCCAAGACCACAGGAAAATTGATGATAGAATTGGGTCAGTACTGGTCAACTTCTTAATCTGTTTTGAACATATCCCTGAGTAAGACCAGGTTACTATAAGAAGAGCATTAGTTTTCACTTCTAAATGCAGGGATAAAACTGATGAAATTACTGTAATAGCATCACTTTGGCTTCATTTTTAAACGATGGTTGGAAACAGGTTTCTGACCCCCTTTTTCCTCCTCTGCCTCACTTAGCTCTTATTCTCTTATCACAAAGGTTACTCACAGCCAACTAGCCAAATGAAAAGTATGGCTTGATTAAGAATCTCTTTTGTCAGTAATTTGTGCCTAATGTTTTTAGCTCTCCCATGGGCTGTTGTAGAAAATGGTAAATCTGGTTTAAATGAAACCTGATCCTGTTAATGGTTTAATAGCAGCTGCCACAGGGTTATGGCATTTTTCAACAGATGCTTCTGCTTCATTTTAAACATAAACCAAGTCTTGGAATATTTACATAAATCATATAAAATATCGCTACACACTTTTGGCTAAATATATTGTTATAAACTAGTCTTAGAGAAGTCCCTATCTTTGCCCATTTGTAATTACTCACAGAGAATTAAAAAAAAAAAAACAGGCTACACTCTATTTAAAAAAAAAAAAGATTACTTGTGTCTTGCACTTGCCTAAAATTTTTTTAAAGGCTGAAGAATGGGCTCCATCTCTCTTCTGGGGACATGAATGGTGGCTTGGTTGATCCAATGGTTCTGTCCATCTTTAGGTCTAACACTATTTATTTAGCACTGACAAATTGCTTACACAATGATGTGCATTCTAGGGTCAACTGAAATTCAGAGGAGTCACAAAATTAAATGGGATACTGTTTTTCTTTGAAAAGGTAGACCTTGTAATAGCACTTTAAGGTATCATTCTGCATAGGATTAGTTTCTCTGGCGTATGATTGTTTAATCTTTTTTTTTTTTTTAAGAATTTCTTCTGGTCAAAGCACTTGTGCTGGATACACGAATGATACAAAGATAAATGTCAGGAAAAAAAAAACAAACCCACAATGACTGGTTCCAAACCGGGAAAGGAGTAAGTCAAGGCTGTATATTGTCACACTGCTTATTTAACTTACATGTAGAGTACATCATGCAGAATGCCGGGCTGGATGAAGCACAAGATGGAATCAAGATTGCCAGGAGAAATATCAATTACCTCAGACATGCAAATGACACCACCCCTATGGCAGAAAGCAAAGTGGAACTGAAGAGCCTTTTGATGAAAGTGAAAGAGGAGAGTGAAAAAGCTGGCTTAAATCTCAACATTCAGAAAACTAAGATCATGGCATCCGGTTCCATCACTTTATGGCAAATAGATGGGGAAACAATGGAAACAGTGACAGACTTTAGTTTCTTGGGCTCCAAAATAACTGTAGATGGTGACTTCAGCCATGAAATTAAAAGACGCTTGCTCCTTGGAAGAAAAGCTATGACCAACCTAGATAGCATATTAAAAAGCAGACATTACTTTGCCAACAAAGGTCTGTCTAATCAAAGCTATGGTTTTTCCAGCAGTCATGTATGGATGTGAGAGATGGACCATAACTCTTCAGCTGAGTGCTGAAGAATTGATGCTTTTGAATTGTGGTATTGGAGAAGGCTCTTGAGAGTCCCTTGGACTGCAAGGAGGCCCAACCAGTCCATCCTAATTGAAAGCAGCCCTGAATATTCATCAGGACTGATGCTGAAGCTGAGCTCCAATATTTTGGCCACCTTATGTGAAGAACTGACTCATTTGAAAAGACCCTGTTGCTGGGAAAGACTGAAGGCAGGAGGAGAAGGGGATGACAGAGGATGAGATGGTTGGATGGCATCACTGACTAGATGGGCATGAGTTTGAGCAGCTCCAGGTGTTGATGGACAGGGAAGCCTGGCGTGCTGCAGTCCATGGTTTCGCAGAGTCAGACATGACTGAGCAACTGAATTGAATTGAATGGCAAAAGATAGAAATAGTTAAACAAAAGAGATGCCAGCTCAAGCAAAAAGAACTGAAAGTACAGTGTACCTCTTTAGTTAGTATATTACAGGTTTGAGTCCTAAGACTCATAGGAGGCAGAATCTTGAACTGGTAGGGTAGTTTTTTGTCTTGTTTTTTGGGTCTTGTTTTCATGGTAGTATATTTGCTCAATTACCTTGGCCTATAGCCATTACTTAAGTAAGTGCATCCAATGCTATGTTTTTAAGGACAAACAATAACAGTACAAATCAACTCTTTCACGCTCATACTCAATGAGTTGTGTCCAACTCTTTGTGACCCCAAGGACTATAGCCTGCTTCATTACTCTGTCCATGGGATTCCCCAGGCAAGAATACTGGAGTGGGTTGCCACTTTCTTTTCCAGAGACAAAGCAGTTCTTAACTCTAAATGATCTGTAGGCATCACTGACTGTGATGTGTTTCTAAATACCAGTATTCCAATCTTCCCTTGTCCTTGTATCTGTCCTAGGTACTCCCGCCTAAGAAGGATGTGGAACTGGGCATGGCTTTCTTGTTTGAACTCTTTCTCCTTCGTGGGAAATATACTTATCTCCACCAGGTTGTGGGCTGGGCAACCTTCCCTTTGTACGATAGCAGTATGGATGCGGTGGAAGGAAAATTCAAGTGTCCACTTCTCCGAGGACATTATGATCAGAAAGTCGACAGCTTCAGGAAAACTGAAGATCTGATTTGCTTGGACTTGGACCACTGGCTGTGCAATCTCTATTTTCAGGTTTGCAATGGGATTTTGTTAGTGGGAAAAAGAATGTAAAGATTTTCCAAAGCTGCTTTTCTCTAGCCTTTAGCTATTGAAAAGTCCAATAAGTATCAATATCAAAAACCTATATAGGGGTTATCTCAATATTGATTTCTCGTTATTGTGGTCAGTCGCTCAGTCATGTCCAACTCTTTTGTGACCCCTGGACTGTAGCCCACCAGGCTCCTCTGTCCATGGAATTTCCCAGGCAGGAATACTGGAGCGAGTTGCCATTTCCTCCTCCAGGGGATCTTCCTGACCCAGGGATTAAACTCACGTTTCTCGCATCTTCTGCACTGGTAGGCGGATTCTTTACCACTACCAATTTCTCATAATGCAGATTAAATTGATGTCTACAAACAAGGGTCAAAATTCTAGAGTTAGTAGAAATCTTAAGGATCATTTAATCCAAACTTCTGTCTTATGAATCAGGACAGTTATCCAAGTCCCTGACTTCTCAGTTTGCAGCCTGTTGTTGCCGGAGCCAGACTGGTCTCAGCAATGTTGGGCAGGGGTTGTATTTCTTTTTCGAGAGTTCTTATTGAGCTTCTGTTGTGGGTTGGGCATCGCTTGTTTCAGAGATATAAAACAGATAGATGTGGTCTCTGCCTTCCAGATGCTTGACATTTATTTGATGAGACTGACAATAGATAGCCCACATTTCCACAGGATGAAAGTGGCCATTAGAAGTCTCTCTTTACCATACACATGGCTTCAATGTATGCTGCCTTGTTTATGTAAAAAAAAAAAAGAAAAAAAAAACTTGGGTACACATCACTAATTTGTGTAGGCTTGGCATTCTATTTTTTAACTAAGTCTTTTAGCAGAACAGCTGTTGCATAAATTCATTTTAGGCCAATACCATGGAGGATCCAAAAAAGAAAATAGTAACACACTTGAGATGTAAGGCATTCCAACACATTTTGGTCTATTTATTTTTGTCCTATATGTCCACATTTGTTCTACCTCTTTATGTTGCTTTTCCAGAGTGCTTATATCACGAAATGCTATGAGTTTTCTTCCTTACTATTGGTTTTTTTTCAGTTTACCTACTTATCTACCTACCTGAGGTAAACAGTATATATGGACATGTTCAGGAAGCGTGTAGTTTTGACCTAAAAATCATCAGCTACATATTCTTCTTATGTGATTATTTTTCATGTGTTCTATTTAAGTTTAATTGACATTTTTTTTTCCCTTTTAGCTAATTCAGTTACAATGTTTAGTTGAAATATATTTTTGTTGCTCTCTGGTTCTACTGTTAAGAAAACCACTCTTTGATGAGTATGTGCCCTTCTAGTCATCCTGGGAATCAGTTCAGTCCAGTTCAGTTGCTCAGTCGTGTCCGACTCTTTGTGATCCCATGAACCACAGCACGCCAGGCCTCCCTGTCCATCACCAACTCCCGGAGCTTACTCAAACTCATGCTCATCGAGTCGGTGATGCCATCCAGCCATCTCATCCTCTGTATGGGAAGATCCCTTGAAGAAGGAAAGGGCAGTTCACTCTAGTATTGGATTCTAGTCCTGTTCCCAGTTATTTTGATTTGTTTTGAAGTGAACCTCAGGATCAGAAGTTTTTAAAAGTTTCTAAGGATTAGAAACATTGATATAAATAAGTGTGAAAAGGAAGATCATAAATGAATCCAAAGGAGTAATTAAAAAAATCACTCCCAAAATTTTGAAGAAAACCCTCAATAAAACTATTTATCAAATTGGTGACCTGAATACTATACATAGAGATAAAAATGAAATGAAAATGAAAATACAGCCATGAAAGAAAATAAATTTGGGTATATGTTTATTAGATAATGTAAAAGGCATTTATAATTTTTCATTAAAATTATCATTGTTACCTAACATTCAGTGTTCTATAAACTATGGCATGGGCTTTGTTTCATAAGAGATAATTTAGGTAGCGCAGATATTGATAATAAAGAGATACACATTTTATATTTGAGAGAAAATAAAAAAGTAGTGTTTAAATTTTACAAGGTCAGAAAAAATAATTATTTGGTAAACAGCATTAGAATAATTTGATTTCAGTAAAATCTACTTAACTTGAACACATTGGTACCTTTTTTTTCTCCTATTTAAAAAAAATCTTAGTGAAAAAAGTAACATTATGATTTATCTGTAGAGTTCTCCAGCCATTATTCATTATAAATGGACATAATTGTCCACTAGCTTCCTTATTTGATAGACAATAACAGAAATTTTCTTCCTGTGTATATTTCATGGAGGATTGGTGGGCGGAAGTGAGTCTTACTAATGAGAATCGTGCTGTTATTCAAGTAGCATGCTTTTCTGACTGTAAGGCAGAATAAGTATGAATGTAGATGATTCTCTTTCATGAGGATGAACACAAAAAACTTCTTATCTTGAAACTCTATTTTCCTCTATGTGAAATTCTAAAATATATGACTTTTTCTAATATGAATTTTTCTCAAATGCAAACATTTCTGAACAAGAAAATTTTGAGTAGCCTTTTAGAGTTACTCAGGGAGAGGATAACCTGGGTTTGGGAAGAGAAAAGAGATAGATATTGGAGCAGAAAAATGGTTTTGCAATGCAGACTTAGAAGAGATGAAAGGAAACAAGCCAAGTCGGGTAGATCCTAATCATTTCCCTCTGTTGTCTCTTCACTAAGAAAACTGCCGCAGTCACAGGGGCTGCAGGGCCAGGCTGAGGGGCTCAGCCGTGACCTCATGCATTACTCACACGGCTAATAACCCTGAGCTTTAAGGCGGAGACTGCGAGCTGCTCTGATTTAGCTCCCGGAGCATGTATGAAAGAATGTAAAAGGGAAAATTATGCAAGCAAGACAGCCTTTCACTTTTTCCTAGAAAAGCTTTTCTATCAAGTTCTCTCTTTTCTGAATACTTCATTTCCTGTGTCAGTGATTATTTCCACCAGCATTTTATTATTAAAATTTTAAACACAGAGAAAAGTTGAAAAAAATTGCATACTGATTCTACAATATGCTCATTTAATTTTAAGCTTAAAATATTGTTTCTTGAAGATAGTAAATACTTGCTATTAAATGAGTATTTAGACTATTATTTGAAATAAGAAATTGAAAAATAAGAACAAAGAAACTAATAAACATATAGAGTAGGGACATTTTATGTAACCCTGTTAATACAAAAAAAAAGCATTTTTTAAATAGTGCAGCATAACAAAAACAAATATAAGTTTTAGAAAAATTGAGTTCATCATTGACCTTTTGGATTTTGTGTATTAGGTCATTCCAGAGAGATAATTGTGTGTGTTGTATTTTCAACAGTTTGAATAACAAATCCATCTCTTAATAGGTAATTAAACTTCCTCTACATTTGAATGATCAAAAAAACCACAAAAGGCATATTCAGCTTCCCCTTGAGTTTCCAGATTGTTTAATGGCTGAAGCAGAATCAAGTGTGGATAATACAGAGAAAAAGAGTTGTTCCTCAAGGAGTGATGGAGCGAAATCCTTCTCACACTCATCTCAAGGTTAGTTCACATTTTATCGGCATCTTATTACTAATATTTCAAGTACTGTTATATAATATAAAACTGAGAAAGAAAGAAGAGCTATTAGTGTATTTCTTTCTATATCATGTCATTTAAAGATAATGTAATCATTGACAAGATTTCATACTGCACAATTATAAATTATATAATAAAATAGGAACCATTGAAACACAAATCTTTCTGCATGATTTGTTGCTCTAAAATATGTTTTCATTTTTTGAGGAACAGTTGTAACATTTTAGATTCTTAGTCCTAAATTTCAGTCTTTCTTGTATGCTCAATGAAAGAGAATTGCTTTCAGAAAAAAGTTCTCAAGTAATTTAATCTATTCTATAAACCTTTGATTTCAAAGACTGGTTTAATAAAATACTACATGAGCAAATAATACTCTTGAAATATTCAATGTATACAAGTTTCAGTTTATAGAAGGAAGCTAGCCATGAGTTCTTGCACAGTAGGTCTCTTCATGAGACTTCCTTGATTTGGAAGCTTAACACATTTATCTTTGGTTTCTATCAGATGTGTGAAATCACCAATTATGACTGAATCTGCCCATTTCTCTTATACATTTTTGGTGTGCTTTAACTACCCATCAAACACTTCTCTGTATGTATATCTTATTGTTGGCTTTGCTTTTAGTTTCATTTATTAAACAGAGAATCTAGTTTTTCTTTTTTTAACTCTCAATAGAAAATTAATTTACTGACACATTTGATCAGTATCCATGCTTTATAATATTTTTAATATAGCATATCTTTAGTCTGGTTTCATTTTTCTTCTGGTTGAAATAAATCTTTAGTAATTAATTTAAAGCTTGAATCTGTGAATGGTAAACTCTCTTAGTCTTTGCATGTCTGCAAAGTCTATTTTTTCTCACTTTTGGTAGATCATTTTTACATATATAAAACTCTAGGCTACGAATGTTCCCTCACTGTTTTCTCCACCATATTCTCATGTCTGTTGTGGCTGATGAAAAACAGGTATTAAGTGGATAGCCACTGATGGATACTAGGAAGGTGAGTGATGCATTTCACTTCTGTTTTAGGTAGATCCTTCTGGTAAGCTTCAGGAGGATTCATTTGAGAAAGGCATGGTTAGAAACAGATCAGTTAGGAAAAGTTTGTAGCAGTTCAGGCAACAGATGAAGATCTGAATTAGGGCAGAGATAGTAAAGCTGGAGAAGAGAGTGTAAACTGTCAAAGTATTAAAGAAGTGTAATAGAATGACCATTGGACTAAGAATAAGAGTATCCTTGTTAGTTGGATATGGATGGTGAAGAAGAATTAAGAATGATTCTTTCTTTCTTTATTTTATACCACGGATAGATATGGATATCAACCAGCAAATAACAAGAAATAAAGAGGGAAAGACAGGATTAGAAGAAAAGCTGTGAACTTGATTTTGGACCTACTGAGTTTGAACTTTCTACATTATATCCAAGTATTAATGTTTAGGGGATCTTTGGAAAAATGCATGTGAAACAAGAGAGAGAGAGGGAAGTTTGGGAAGGAAAATATGTCCATTGGAGAAGTATAAACACCTAGACTCTAGCTGAATCTGCTGAGTGGCAGGTTTCAAACTGGGAGAGTGTGTAGAATGATGGAAGTGTTGAGATGAGGGCAAGACTCAGGAAAACAGTGGTGTTTCAGAAGGATGCTAGAACCCTACTATAATCAAACCCAAAATCTGAACTATTTAACATCCTAGATGACATCCATCTTCCTTGTCTCATTCTACCTAACAACTGGGCCACACAGAGCTTCGTATTCAGCTACTGGTGGTAAAAGTTTCTTTGGTTGTGCCCAGAGTTTTCCAAACCCCTTGGAGACTTTTTGCCTTGTTGGGCCAAGTAAAACTCCACTGACTGCAACTCATTTTCTAGAACCCCACTTCCTTCCCTAACAGACAATTTCAGCACAAGCCCTGGGCTCTTATATTTGCATCTGTCCTGTTTCTCTACAAGTGAACCATTATCACCACCCACTGATTACTGAGACACTGCCACCTCCAGAGAATTCAGTGGCATTTTATAGAGTCATGTGTACCTGGACAGGCTGTGTTGAAATTTTTCACATAGAATTCTCATATATTGAATTCTGTCAGCTGGCTTTAAATGGATATTTGTGGAACTAAATTAGAAATGAGATATATATTGAAGGTAGGTAATAAATGCCAACTCTATAAAGTGCCTTGATTAATGTGTATTGTTTGTCACACCTGAGAACTTAGGTTGACTATACTTGCAGCCTGAGAGAATAGGAGGAGACCAATGTCACAGTCTGAGTTTTGTGAATAATTTGTAGAGTGTGCTGTTCTCAACATGCATACCTTTGAACTGACTGTAAGCATTCTAGGTTGGAATTTAATAGGCTTAAGACTTTGATTTTTTATTTTTAATTCATTTGCTTTGAATTGAAGGGTGATTGCTTTACAATATTGCTTTGGTTTCTGCCATACATCAACATGAATTAACCATAGGTATACATATGTCGGACTTCCCTGGGGGCTCAGATGGTAAGAAATTGAACCCTATGCAGGGAAGCAACCTAGATGCCCATCAGCAGACGAATGGATGAGGAAGCTGTGGTACATATACACCATGGAATATTACTCAGCCATTAAAAAGAATTCATTTGAATCAGTTCTAATGAGATGGATGAAACTGGAGCCCATTATACAGAGCGAAGTAAGCCAGAAAGATAAAGACC